GGGCGGGTGAGGGGCGCGCCAGGGCAGGCAGAGGGTGAGGAGGACGCTGGCGCGGCGGAGGCGGCAGCCGCCGCTGACCTCCTCAGCATGGCGCTCGCGGCCGGGCCTCCTGTGCAGCGGCGCGCAGGGGAGCCGCAGCCCGCGCGGCCGGCAACCACGCCGCCTGCGTGGCAGCAGCAACTTCAGCCGCAGCAGCAGCAGCTGCGTGTGCCGCGGCAGCACGGCCCGCCTGCGTGGACGGCGGGTGCGAATGGCCCTGCCGAGGTATTATGTGTAGAAGCCGCCTTGGATATGTTCGACTCCGGGTCGGGCCTGCGGCGATTGGCGGCCGCGCTGCCACCGGCGCTGTTCGTGCACCTCTTGGGGGAGCACGACGCCCTCGAGCGCGCGCGGCGGCGCGCGGCCGCGGCGGACGCCGCGGTGGCGGCGGTCGAGGGGGTGCTCGCCGCCAAGCGGTCGGAGGCGGCCGCCGCGCATGCCGCCGCGGCGTCGGCCGGGCGGCGGCTGCACTCTGCATTAAGGCAGCTGGAGCCCCTGGGCTCCGCCTGCGGCGGCGGGGCGGCCGGCGGTGCCGGGCGGGCAGAGGGGGCGACTGGGCCCGTGGCTTGCGCGCTGCGCCTGACAGGGGCTGGGCGCGGCGCTGCCTGAAGGCTGGGCGCGACGGCAGCGATTGCTGTGGGATGCAGATGCGGCGCCGAGGCGCCAGGGCCTTAACGGCATTGCCTTGCATTCTATGGGCAGCTTTCCACCGCCATCACCCCCAAACAAACAGCTTCCTCAAAGAGAGTCTGCATGTACCACAACTCCTCACGCCCGTTTGGCTCCGTGCCTCCCGCCGCCGCCGGCTGCGCGGCGCGAACTTGAACGCGGCAGCCGTGGCCTGGGCGCGGAGGCCTCGTCGTGGCAATCGGCAATCGTCGCAGCGAGAGACTGCAGTGCAAGGCCTGGGGCTCAGGCCTTCGAGCGCAATACTATGCCACATGTTTAGATCCCCTGAAGCGGCTGCGCGTTGTGAGCACCATTGTGTGACTCACTCTACAGATCAGCACTGTCTCCTTGCCTTCCACCCCCGAATACAGCCTGATTGGCCCTAGCACGCCCCGCCCGCTGCCGCGCGGGCACGCCCGACGCCGGTCCCGCACAGCAAGTGGCCGCGGCTGCGGCGCGGTGCTGCGCGCCGAGCGAGCGCAGTGCTCCGTGCAGCCGCGCCCACGAGCGCGCTGCGCGTCAGGGCAGCGCCACGGCTGCCACGGGATCCGACGTGCCGCGCCGCACCCCAGCGGGAGTGGCATCGAGATTGTACACCACCGCCGCTGTGCTTGTGTCCTTGAGCTACCTTATGACTTCTGACTCTCTGGCAAGCCTCCAGAAGATCCCCTGGCAAGCCTCCTGCCTGCGGTGCCCCTCGCCTGATTGCCTAGCTGCCATGCCCTCCAAGCGGCCCTTTCTTTCCTGTCCCTTCTCTACGCACCAGATCGGCCCGCCTTCGACCCACCAAACTCCCAAATTTTGCATCTGAATTCCCCCCTCCCCACTCCTGCACCTTGCAATTTGAGCCATAGGCGCATGCCGTGTGGGCCTGGCCACGTGCTCACATTTTGTCTGATGAAGTGGGGTTTGCGAAGGGCTTCCCTGTACGCGCAGAGCGGACGGGTGCACGCCGCAGCGGCGGCGGCGATCGAGGATCGGTGTCGGGCGCTCGAATTATCCAAGCACCGGGACAAGCTCGGGCCAGAGCAGGCCGCCCATTCGCGACTGCCCAGCCCGCTCGTTTTATGAGCCTGCTGCCAAGCAGAAGCACCTCGTTTCGGCCCGCCACAAGAGCGAGGGACCACGAGCGCGGCTAAGAACGTGCGCTTTTTTGTGATGTCATCCCCTGGGTGTCTGGACTTCACTTTCTCCAGCGACCCCAAGAGTCCCCTGTCAGTCCCTTGCCTGCCCCCCGGCCCCTCGCGCGACTGTCTGCTCGCATTCTCGTGAGACTCCTGCGTCCAGTGGCTGAACCCTAAAACCCGGGCCCACCTCTGCGGGTGTTGTGTAAACAATTGATTCGGAGTGCAGGCGGGCACAGGTCACGCGCTCGTAGGGCCCCAAGGGTTTGGCCTCGTGGCACCGCCCGTCAGTGCACCGCACTTGCAGCGGGGCCGAGGGATCAAGTTTCCGATTTTGGGACAATGAAGGCTGCCCCCCAACCTTGCTCCCGGTTTCAGTGGTTGCTGGGTGCATGCAGTAGCCAGGTGCTTGCAGGGCAGGTAGAGCAGGAGCGGCCCTCCCCGGAACGGTTGCGTCAGCAGTGTCCACTGCCGCGCCGCTGAGCTGACCAGCCGGGGGCGTCGCGTCCGCACATACCGACGATCCCTTCCCCGATTCATTCGGCGCATCGAGGACGTTCGCACTTGCGCGCTGTCTGCGCCGCGCAGCCAATTGTGTCGGCCCTGTGTGCCGTGTCCAAGCTGGGGTGGCGTCCGGGTGCCTTGGTCGGGGGTTCAAGTCCCAATTGAATGTGCATGCGATGCAGCCCATGCTAGGCAAACAAATCCAACGGACCCAGCCCACAGGCACGCGCAGCGGCAGTTCCTGGTGTCGCCGGGCCAGGCGGGCTGCCGCACATGCGTCGCAGCGACACATTACTGTCTTGCCGGGGGACCGGGATGGCGGCGGACTGGATTTCCTGGGCTGCTGCTCAGGGGGCAACTAGCAACGAGGACTGTCGCTTGCGCAGCTGCCTGGTGCTGGTTGGCACAGCTGTTTACAAGGCAAGGGGCCTGCTTAAACTACCAGGGCAAAGGTCAGTTAGATACTACATGTACGCACATATTATATGAAAGGGCAGGCGTGCAGGGAAGCTGGGGCGCACCGCACAAATACGTGTGATTGTGAACAACGCAAGACTCTGAGCCACCATTGTCGGGGCTGTACGCAAACAAGGCCGCCGGCACACGTACTGTGCGATGTCCGCACTCAGTACGTGTGTGTCTTCGGTGCGCCGGGGCGCTGGGATGCCACCACCGCACGCATGCTGCATGGCGCAATAAACTTCGCATGTGTTGTGCGCGCCGTGCCTGCGTCGCGTGTCGGCGACGCCCATGGAGCGACACGCGGTCAAAACCGACCCCGCATACTCGGTCGACGCTTGAGTTTTCCGTACGGATGGCAAGATGAGGTGTCGGCACCACCTGAAGGGAACATCAGTTGCCGCCACTGCATGCCTAGACAGACACTAGCAGGTCAAAGGGTCTAGTCACCCGATGGCGGCACGGCCGGCTAGCCCGAAAACGGCTCGGGGTGCTCGGCATGTGGCGCCTCACGCCCGCCAGCAGGGGGGGCGCGCCGCGTCGCAGCCAACGGCTGGCGCGGCTGTGTGTATGTGCATTCGGCTGTATCACTTGCGCTAGTGTTGAGCGTGGAGGGTTGGTATGTGTGTGTGTGTGCTGCTAATTTTTGTGCGGAAGCTCGGTTGCAGGTGCCGGCTTTCAATCACCAAATCGCGCAGATGCTTGGGGCGATCGCAGCACAGGCGAGCGCCCCAGCCAGCAAACAGTGATGGGATGTTAAGCAACAACCTCCCCTCGGCGGTTGCTGCACAGCAATTGCTCGAAATGACTGCGGGCGGCGCCGGCACGGCGGCGGCCGCCGGGCAAGAGCGCGCGGGCCGCCCGTCCTAGGGGCGGGCGCGTCGGAGGCACACACGTGTCGGAAGCCGGCCGGCAAGAATGCAAAGCGGCTTGGGGGCGCCGCCACGCAGTATGATGAGTTTTGAGCGTGGCAGCGGGGCGCGCGACTGGATTGGTTGCACGGACGATGCGGCCGGCGGCCGGCAAGACTCCGCCGCCGTCGTGCAGGGGCCGGCGCAGCCCTCAACAAATTCTTCAGCAACGCCCAAGGTGGGGCCAAAATATGCGAAGGAATAGACATAGTATGCATGACAGCGGTCCCAAAGCTATGCCAAAGGCTATGCAAATCTTGACAGAGCAGCCAAAGGCGAGGAACCTGGCCCGGAGGGGCGGCAGCCATGGAGCACTCTGCTCTGAGAGAACCGCGCACCGCCGGCGGCGCCGGCGGGCGGCAAGGGGGCGTCGATTCACGCCGCATCGCCGTAGCGCAGGCGGTAGGAGCCGAGCGACGCGCGCGCGCACAGCCTCGTCGTGTCCCCCGGCGCGCACAGCGCCGTCGGCACCGCGGGCGCCCAGAGGTGGCACCACCGCGGCGCCGACGCGTCCGACGCCAGCCGGCCCAGGGCGACGCTCACGCTGAAAGCGGCGCAGCCCGCGGCGGGCCGCTGCGACGCGCGCGCCGCGGCGCGCTTCGCGCAGGCGGCCTGGCATCGGTCCACCAGCGACGCCGGGGTGACGTCAGATGACGTCATCTTGAGGGTAAAGGAGCGGCTGGGGCGTCCCGCCCAGTTCTGGGTGGCGCTGGCCGCCACAAAGGTGGCCGGGGCGGAAGCTGCGCACGGCTTGCGCGTCTGTGTGAGGGTGCGGGCGGGCATGGCGTGCGAAGGGTGGCGCGATGTTGGAACATCAACATTTGAGGAAACGTGTACAAGGGGGAAAACCCATGTTTTCACGTCACTGTTTGGGGTTGTGATGGTGCATGGGCAGTGCGCAAGCAGCACAAGCACATGTGTAATCCTCTTCACGAATCAACCTCACGCCCGCCCAAATGCTGACCGCCCCGCCGCCCCGAGGTTGCTCGACGACAACGCTGTGTGTGCGCGCCACCCACCGCGTCCATCTGGGCCACAATCCAGTCTCGATAGGTCGGGACGTTGGTGTATACTCCTGGCATCCCCGGCTGCCCGCACCCGTAGCCATACGACACGATTCCGACCAACCGGTCGTCCCTCGCGGCCCCCGACCCGATAGGGTCGAGGGGTGCCCCGATGTTAAACACTGCAGGGCCCCCGCTGTCACCCTGGCACGAGTCTTGGAAAGGAACCACCCCGCCGTCTACTGCTGGCACGCTGCCCGCGCAGATGTTGGCGGCCGGGTCGGCGCCGACGCTGGCGCGGCAGCTGGCGGGGTCGACGCGCTGCAGCAGGCCGTACTGCAGCTGGGACGCCTTTCTGCCGTTCTGGCCGCCGGCGGAGGCGCCCGACGACGTCGTGCCCCTGCGGCGGGCGATGGCGGGTGACGGCGGGTGATGGGCAGTTCGAGGGTGATGTCAGATCACCAAACTCACCATCCAGTCCAGCTCTGCAGCTCTGCAGCTCTACGATGAAGCGATGGACAAGCAATGTCATTTGCCACCTCCTGGCAGCCCGGGACATCCTTGACCACGCTGCACCAATGGTCAAAACGCGGCATGCGCAGCTGAGCGCAACAAGTGCTGGTCAAAGGCGGTCAAACGCGCCCCGGACGCGCGTCATGCCCGGCAACGCTGCTCACCAGCCTGACACCACCAAAGTGCTGTTGAAGGCCGCCTCATACTCTGAGGCCGGCGGCGGGAGGGAAGGGCGGGGGGCCCAAGGGGTGGCATGAGCGGGAGGGGCCGGGTGAGCAGGAGGGAGGGGCAAATGGCGGCCGTCTGCGAAGGTTGGGGCGGAGAGAGCCCAAGGCAGCCAGTGCCCGTGCTCAAACGCCTCCGTGGTTCTGTGTAGGCCATGAAGCCGGGCCATTGGGAACGCAGGGCCGTGCGGGAGCGCCGCGCCCGGGGCTGCCGGCTCCGCCGTATGCACCATCACGCCGCCCAGCCACGCCCCCCCCCCCGGGTGCCCCAAACCCGACCCAGCCTCGCCGGCCCGCGCCGCGCGGCCCGCGACCACGCGCGCCGGCCCCCGCCCGCCCCTATGCCGCCGCCGGCCGGCCGGCCCGCTCACCCTGCTGCGTCGCCAGGGCGATGGTCCCCACGTCCGGCCCCAGCGCCACGCACTTCTGCAGGAAGATCAGTGCCAGATCGTTGCGGTGCTCCTTGGAGTTGGAGTATCCGAGGTAACCCGGGTGCACCATGACGCGGGCGGCTTGGTAGGCCGTGCCGCTGCTGCCGCCTTGGAGCCAGAACGAATCATAGGCACCTGACAGATTGGGACGAGAGGATTGTGAGTTTGGGAAAGAGGATTGTGTTCGACGCGCAACTTGGTTTTGGGGAGCGGCGAGGGGGGGGGGGGCGCGGGTCGGAAGGCTGGGTAACTGGTTACGGGTGGCCACCCCATGGGCGGCGCGCATGACGGGGTGGCTGTGAGGTCAGCCAAAGCGCGCGTTTGTCACTGGTGGAGGGGGAAGAGCCGCGCTGCTTGTCACATACATTCTGTGTGGGATGTGCGTGAGTGTTTGGGGTGAGTGCATGCATGTGTTGACGTGTGTTGCGGGGGGATCAGAGCCCTGTGCTGCTGGTTACAAGAATGTCGGAACCCGGCTGCAGTGCGTTGATGTTGTGGGTGGGAGGATGGGAGACCCGTGAATTTAAGTTTCAGTGGTGCCGAGCCCCCCTCACCTGCATAGACAGTCGTTTTTTTCAGGTTTGGCTTGAAACCAGGGAAGCAGCTGGGGGGATGCCGGGTTGAGGGCGCCGCGTTGGGCGAGGCGAGGATCAGGGTGGGAAGGCGACAACGGCAACAGGGTGGCGTGGGCGGCCGGGCGCGGGCGAGCTGGGCGCTCCGCCGCGCGGCCATGATTGCCGGCTGTCGGCCCCTATTGAGCGCACGTGGGCGGCGAGGGGCACTTCCGGCGACGGTCTCGGCCGTTGAGAAGCGTTGCGATCCTGCTGCTCAAGCAGGCATGCGTAGTGACGGCCCCGCAGCTTTCCCCCCGTCACCCAAAACCTCAAACATGCATGGCTCTGCAGGCAGGGGAGGGGGCGGCCCGCCGCTCACTGGGCTGCCGTGATTGCCACGTCTTCGCGGATCAAGGTGGCGCCGCAGAGGGACTTGTCTTCAATCAGCCCCAGTTGGTGCTTCAATCTGGAGGGTTCGTGCGTGGTTCGTATTTTGTGAGTGGTGGTGTTGCGCTGGGTTCTGTGCATGGGTGTGTGTGTGTGTGTGTGTGTGTGTGTGTGTGTTCTTTTGGGGGGGAGATGCCTGTGTATGTGCACGCGAAGACGGGTGTGCGGGCGTCAGTGGGAGTGCGCATTGGCACATGAGGTCGGCATGGTGGCAGACGCCACCCTAGTGCACTGGAAGCGCAGATGCGCACGGCGTGCAAATGTGGGCTGCGGCTGCAGAGGGTTGAAGGGGACACCGTCGGCCCCACAAGCTCGGCCCAGCTGGACCAAGGGCCCAATCGTGCTGCCCTGTGGGCCGCGCACCTGTCTCGGGGCGCCGCCCTGCCGCCCACCACCGCAGGATGCACTGTGACACCGCCCGCAGAGGCGCTGGCGCCGGCGCCGACGCGCGACGCCGCTGGAGGGAGGAAGACGGACGTGTGCGGCCGGGCATGGGCCGGGCCGGCTGCCACGGCGAGAAGCAGGTGTAAGGCTATCAGGCGCGCCGCCGCCGCGGCCGCGCAGCCGGGGGCCATGGCCGCCGCGGGCCAGAGGGTGCGGCGCGAGCGGCGCCCGTCTGGGTGGCCCAGGCTGCAGGGTGCGCCTGGTTGGCCGGCAAGTGCCTAGAGAGTTGGCTGGGGGTCGCGGCAGGATGAAGGGTGGGGAGGGGGGGGGATGATGTCAGCAGGGCCCAAGGGGGGACCCAAAATGCTTGCAGCTCTCATGGGCGCTGCAGCAAGACATAACTTGAGAGTCAAATGCAGAATTTCCCTTGCCACGGGCGCGGGCGGGGGTTCGAACGCGCCCGCAGGGGGCTGGCGCGCAGCAGCCGCGCAGGAGCATCGACACGACGCAAGGGGATTGCAGCTGCATCTCTGCCGGCGACCCAGGGAGCGCAATCACTCGTGGGACATAGCAGCTCGAGCTAAACGTTGATGTGAGGACACGAACACCAGCACCATCTCACCCGTGGAGCCGGCAAAGCCCACAAAACCGAATCAGCTGATCTGCGTCCCTCAGAACATCACCAGGTTCTTCGACAGAGTCAATTTGAAAGCCATTTGAGTTTTCAAAAATGTCGCTGTGCACAACCGTGCACCTTGGTGACCTTGAGGGGACAGCACTCGGAACAACGCATGGAATTTCTCTTGTGGAGGCGAAAGTCTGCTGAGCTCCTTGAACACGGGTGTGCCGGGATGTAAAAGCTGATTGTGCTATTTTAGATGCTCTCCGCGCCTGGAAGAGCGTTGGATGGGGGGCGTCAGCGCTCGCACACTGTGACTCTCCGCAGCAGTTCGAGTGCCTGTGGGCATCTTCAACCCGCCCTTCGCGCCGGCATTCGCGGCATGGTGTGGGGCTCGCCCCCGCACGGCCAGGGCAAGCGCGCTCACTTGCAGCAGGCGGCTGTATGCACTCTCGCCCTGCCCTTGTCCCAGCGCTCTGGCCCCCCGGCCAATCAGTTTGGGCAGGCTGGGCAGGGGCTGGCAAGGGGCCATGCGGCTGCTGGCCAGAGAGACAGCCCGGCAAGGGAGCGCGCAGGCACGTGCTGCGGTGCCCAGCACACGCGGGAGCAGCGCGCACGCAGGTACCAGGCGGCATGCAGCCCCCAGCAAGAGCCCGGGCTGCCGGTCGCCTCAGTGCACGTCCAGGGCGGCCCGATGGGCCCCCGGTTGATTGCTTCACGCCTGACGGCGTCACCTGCGCCCGATGAGGCGCTTGTTCGCACGAGGGCCCACAAACGGGAACTTCCCGCCTCGCCGGCGCGCTCTCGTCGCCGCGCGGCCCACCTTGCAAAGCCCCACTCCTGCCCGCCGACCGCCCCACGGATGGGGCCCCATAGGGCTGGCGCCTTCCTCGGAGCCCCCCTGCCGCTGCTCGCGCCGCCGCGCCCCGACGCAAACGCCGGCGTTGCCATCAGACACCACAATTGCGCAACCCCTCCCCTGTCGCTCTCGCCCTGCTCGCTGTACTTTGCCCATCCCTACAACCCAACGCCTTGTCAGCGCTGCTGCATCGCTGTCAAAGCTAATCAATCAAAGGTCCACTGTCCGCCTCGCGGACACCTCTTGCGGCTACCCTCGCCGCCGGCACATCCCCCCATTCCCCCCTCACGGCGACAGCTTGCCCGCCGACCTGGCAAGCCGAGCGCTGTTGCCTGTCACGACATTTGAATCATCAGCGGGGGATCCAACACAGGCACTGGATGGCCTTGGTGGGTCCCAAAAGAAAGCAGCTTCTCAGTGTTGCGAAAGCCAGCGCCGAATCATGACAACATGGCCTCCACCAACACCGCCTTGCGCCCGCCCACGGGGTTGTCGGCTGCATCAGGTGCGGCGCTTCGCGATTACACCGCCATGGCGCCGAGCTGAAACAATGAGCCGTGCTTGGTACAAATAGCGAGCGACGAGCGGCCCCGTGGCCCTGCGAGCGCCGCAAACGGTCCACAGCGAACGGCAGCTGGGCGGGCAGCAGGCAGACCAAGAGTCACAGGGCAGGGCACAGCACCGTCCGCAGCGCCGCCGCCATCTCTTCCACCACCCCCACCGTCTCGAGCGCCGCGGGCCGGTCCAGGGGAAGCGCTTCCAGGCAAGACGTGTGGTAAGCGAGGCACCGCGCCAGGTTTTGCAGCGCGGGGTTCAGCAGCAGCTTGCGCACGACGCCGGGCGGCAGCCGCCCCGCGGCCTCTCGCCGCCGCCGGCCCGGCGAGCCCGCGCCGCCGCCGCCGCCGGCGGCGTCCCCGCTGAGCAGCGCCGCGACGGCGCGGTAGGCTTCTGGGTCGATGCCGCGCGCGCCGCCCGCGAGGCCGTGCGGCGTCACGTGGGGGGAGTGGGGCGCGTTGAACAGGGCCAGGGGCGCGGCGTGCGCCGCGCTGAGGAAGGGGAGGGGCACGACCAGGCCAGACTCGTACGAGGCGCGCAGCCGCGCCCTGAGAAGCTGCTCCCCGGCTTCCGCAGGCGCCGCCGCCCCCGCCGCCGCTGCCGCCGCTGCCGCCGCAGCCGCCGGCGGCGCGCCAATCGCGGAGGCCGGAGCGGCCGCGGCGGCGGCAGCCGCTCGCCCGGGGGCGCTCGGCGTCTGCAGGGCGCCCACGCCAGCGCCGAAGGCGGCGCCGCCGCCGCCAAAGCCGCGCACGCTGGAGAGGCCGCGTTCCCGGTCAGCGGCCGCCGATTTGAGCGCCGCCATATAGCTGTTCTCCCCCTCCTCCTCCCCCAGCGGTTGCGCCTGCAGCTGCAACGGCTGCTGCAGCGGCTGCGGCGCCTGCGGCGACGGCCAGCCGCCCTGCTGTGCCGCCGCCGGCACTGACAGAAGCAGGGAGGACGGCCCCCGCTCCCGCATGCTGCTCGCCTCGACGAAATCACGCCCGCCCTCGCCCCCCGCCGCGCCGCCGCCGCTGCCCTCTCTTGTTATCACTGTCGCGCCCGCCGGC